ACAAACGTCACGTGTTGCGTAGTTGTGCGAATTAACTCAAACCAGTTCCTATGGAGAGGTAATTGATTGAAATACCTGAATGTGTGAAGAAATGGTGCTAAAAAAGACAGCGAGATGATGAAACGGTGACATGTTGCGTACTGGCCTACCCTAAATCCAGTTTCAGGCCATCGAACGCACAAACAAGCGTCACGTGCTGCGTAGTTGTGCGAATTATCTCAAACCAGTTCCTATGGCAAGGTAATTTATTAAACTACCTGAATGTGTGAAGAAATGGTGCTAAAAATTACAACCAGACGATGAAACGATGACATGTTGCGTATTGGCCTATCCTTGCACAGTTTCAGGCCATCAAATGCACAAAGAAGCGTCACGTGCTGCGTAGTTCTACGAATTAACTCAAACCAGTTCCTATGGCAAGGTAATCGAGTGAAATAACCGAATGTGTGAAGAAATGGTGCTAAAAAGGACAACCATATGATGAAACTGTGACATGTTGCGTACTGGCCTATCCTTGCACAGTTTCAGGTCATCAAACGCACAAACAAGCGTCACGTGCTGCGTAGTTGTGAGAATTAACTCAAACTTGTTCCTATGGCAAGGTAATGGAATGAAATAACAGAATGTGTGAAGAAATGGTGCTAAAAAAGACAATCAGATGATGAAACTGTTACATGTTGCGTACTGGCCTATCCTTGCACAGTTTCAGGCCAGCAAACGCACGAACATGCGCCACGTGCTGCGTAGTTGTGCGAACGAGCCCCAATCAGTTCCTATGGCAAGGGATTAGGATGTAGTAGGGAACAGTGTGAAGAAATAGTGGTAAAAAAAACATTTAGACGTTGGCGCAGGGACATGTTGCGCACAGGCCTATCCTTGCACAGATTCAGGCCAACAAACGCACGAACATGCGCCACGTGCTGCGTAGTTGTGCGAACGAGGTCAAACCAGTTCCTATGGCTAGAAAATATGATATAGTAGGGAACTGTGTTACGAAATAGTGCTAAAAAAGGCATCCATACGTTGGCGAGCTGACATGTTGCGCAGGCGCCTATCCTTGCACAGATTCAGGCCAGCAAACGCACAAACATGCGCCACGTGCTGCGTAGTTGTGCGAACGAGGTCAAACCAATTCCTATGGCTAGAAAATAGGATGTATTAGAGAACTGTGTGAAGAAATAGTGCTAAAAAAGGCATCCATACGTTGGCGAGCTGACATGTTGCGCAGGCGCCTATCCTTGCACAGATTCAGCAACAAACATGCGCCACGTGCTGTGTAGTTGTGCGAACGAGGTCAAACCAGCTCCTATGGCTAGGGAATAGGATGTAGTAGGGAATAATGTGAAGAAATAGTGCTAAAAAATGCATCCTGACGTTCGCGAGCTGACATGTTGCGCACAGGCCTATCCTTGCACAGATTCAGGCGAGCAAACGCACAAACAAACGTCACGTGTTGCGTAGTTGTGCGAATTAACTTAAAACAGTTCCTATGGCAAGGTAATTGATTGATCTACCTGAATGTGTGAAGAAATGGTTCTAAAAACCACAAACAGATGATGAAACGGTGACATGTTGCGTACTGGCCTATCCTTGCACAGTTTCAGGCCATCAAACGCACAAGCAAGCGTCACGTGCTGCGTAGTTGCGCGAATGTGATGCGAATGTGATCAAATCAGTTCCTATGGCAAGGTATTTGATTGAACGACCTGAATGTGTGAAGAAATGGTGCTAAAAACAACAACTTGATGAAACGATGACATGTTGCGTACTGGCCTATCTTTGCACAGTTTCAGGCCATCAAACGCACAACCAAGCGTCACGTGCTGCGTAGTTGTGCGAATGATCTCAAACCAGTTCCTATGGCAAGGTAATTGTCTGAACTACCTGAATAGGTGAAGAAATGGTGATAAAAATGTCAGAATATGTTGTTTGTGTAGCCTGCAGTGGGGTACTCTATAGTGAGTACAGCCCCTTAGGGTTTGATATTTGTATCCTGCTGCTTGCTAGTTCAATCATTCCTTCTCAATTCTGTTCCTGCACACAATCCTAGCTCGTACTTGGCTCCTCGTTACTAGTCCTACTGTGGCCTAGGCTACTAAGCCTAGGCCGTACTCCTACTACTTCTGACATGGTATCAGAGGGCGGCATGTCTGCCGCCTTCCTGTGTATGGGCCCACCACCCGCTTCCGCTGCCGTACTGTCCGCCGCGCGCCCCGTGGTGCGCGGCGGCGAAACCCTAATTTCTGCCCGCCGCGCGCTCGGGGCGCCTGGCGGTTTTCCCTTCCGTGGCGCCCGTCGTGGTGCCCTTGGGGGGGCCTCCGCGGTCCCCTCCCGTCGAAGCGCCCGTCGAGGCGCTCTCGGGGACCCGCGCGGCCTTCCCTCCCGTCGCCCGTCGAGGCGGCCTCGGGGACCCGCGCGGCCTCCCCTCCCGTCGCCCGTCGAGGCGACCTTGGGGGCCCGCGCGGCCTCCCCACCAGTCGCCCGTCGTGGCGACCACGGGGGCCGCGCGCGGTCCCCTCCCGTCGCCCGTCGAGGCGACTTCGGGGGCCGTGCGCGGCCCTCCCCGTCGCCCGTCGAGGCGACTTCGGGGGGCCCGCGCGGCGCCCTCCCCGTCGCCCGTCGAGGCGACTTCGGGGGGCCCGCGCGGCACCCTCCCCGTCGCCCGTCGAGGCGGCTCTGGGGGCTCGTCGCGGCGCCCTCCCTGGTGCCCGTCGCGGCGCCCCGGGGGGGGGGCCGCGCGGCTCCCTTCTCGTCGCCCCTCGGGGCGCCCTGGGGGCCGTGCGTTTCCCCCCCCCCCCTTCTGCCTTTCAACTGCGGCGGCCGCCCCTGGAGCCGCCCGCCACTGCAGCAGCAGCCCCTGGAGCCGCCCGCCACTGCAGCAGCAGCCCCTGGAGCCGCCCGCCACTGCAGCAGCCGCCCCTGGAGCAGCCCGCACCTGCAGCAGCCGCCCCTGGAGCAGCCCGCACCTGCAGCAGCCGCCCCAGGACCCGCGCGAGCGGCCTCTGCAGAAGCCCGCCCCGTCCCCCCCCCCCCCCCCCCCCCCCCCCGTGCTGCCCATTGCTCCCATTCCACCGTGCGTTCCGCGGTGGCTGGGGTGTGGGGTGGCGAGCATGGGGGTGAGAGGTGTGGGTTCTCCCCTCCTCCTTTTTCGTCTCCCACTGCTGCAGCTGCCGCTGAGGGGGGTGGAGGTGTGGGAGTCGTGGGGAGTGGCACTAGGGGGGTGATGTGGGAGTGGAGCTAGGGGTGAAGCAGGGGGTGTGTGAGATGGGTGTGGGACTGTTGGGGGAGGTTGAGTGGAGGCTGCTGTCTTGTCGTTCGCAGCACCTGTAGTCCGGGGCGCACTGTCCTGGTAGCTCAGAGAGCCTGCTGCACCTGTTGCCCGTGGGTCCGTTGCTCCTGCCGCTCGTCGCAGCCGCAGAGCCTGTTACTCCTGTATTCCGGGACGCACTGTCTCGGTAGCCACTGAGAGCCTGCTGCACCAGTCGCCCGTGGGTCCGTTGCTTCTGCCGCTCGTCGTAGCCGCAGAGCCAGTTACTCCAGTATTCCGGGGCGCTCTGTCTCGGTAGCCACTGTGTCAGCCGCCACTGTGTTAGCCGCTTCTGTTGCCCGTGTGTCTGCAGCTTCAGTCGTCGCCTCCCATCTTCTCTCCTTTCATAGTCCCTCCTCCTCCTCACTTGCCCTCTGTGATAGCCTCTAGCTTTGCTGATAATTATGAACTATCGCTATGACTGCTCATTGTGCTGATTACACCCCACTTTGGCTATGGGGGTGTGTCAGAATATGTTGTTTGTGTAGCCTGCAGTGGGGTACTCTATAGTGAGTACAGCCCCTTAGGGTTTGCTATTTGTATCCTGCTGCTTGCTAGTTCAATCATTCCTTCTCAATTCTGTTCCTGCACACAATCCTAGCTCGTACTTGGCTCCTCGTTACTAGTCCTACTGTGGCCTAGGCTACTAAGCCTAGGCCGTACTCCTACTACTTCTGACAAAAAATTACAACCAAACGATTAAACGGTGACGTGTTGCGTACTGGTCTATCCTTGCACAGTTTCGGGCCATCAAACACACAAACAAGCGTCACGTGCTGCGTAGTTGTGCGAAAGAGCTCAAACCAGTTCCTATGGCAACGTAATTGTTTGAACTACCTGAATGGGTGAAGAATTGGTACTAAAAATAACAATCAGACGATGAAACGGCGACATGTTGTATACTGGTCTATCCTTGCACAGTTTCGGTCCATCAAACGCACAAAGCGCCACGTGTAGCGTAGTTGTGCGAATGAGGTCAAGCCAGTTTCTATGGCAAGGTAATTGTTTGAACTGCCTGAATGGGTGAAGAAATGACACTAAAAATAACAACGATACGAAATTGTAAAACAATAATTAAAACATAGCGGGGTGGAGAAGTAACATGCATGTGACTTATAATTTGGGCCACTGTGGTGGATATAAGGGGTAATGTGAGAGTCAGAGGGGTTTAGTCTTGAAAGTTTCACATACATTTATATATGTCATGTACAAAACAAATTGTACACACAACGATTCCAAAATTTAAAATGTTTGCAACTCATATAGCGAAACAAAACTACAAGCTCTGGTGAATCAATCGCATCAGATGACGTGGCAGGCGAGGATCGCCAGCGCTTGACAACCGACAGTGACCTGTTCAATCGCAGGCTGGCGTAATCGACAGAAATCCGCAGTTCTCTACCCCGATCGAGTCTCCCAGTCACGCATCGTGACGTTTAGGCCAGTAAACTCCCATGATTTTCCAGCCTCAAACCTGCCGATTTCTCCAGAAAGTCAAGAGCGCAGATAGTCACGGTAAACAGCCACAACAGACAAAAAACGCCAGTTTACCCCCGCATCTGAACTCGCAACCATTCCCTTACGGTAAACGGCCGATTACAGGGCACTAGACAACCCCAAAAAAAACCTAAGTACTAGCCCCCCAGTTTACGGCGGATCGACAATTTTCTGATGTCCCTCCGCTTTCCCGCAGAGTGGTTGCGAAGTTGCGAGGAACTGTCGCGAGAAGCGACTGGATCGATACATTTATGCCGATCAGGATCCGTCAGAATTCTGGTGAGCTTATAACGAGGATAGTGTGCTGAATAGAGGTGAACTGAAACTCCTGGACGGTTCTAGGTGGACCTCTTGCTTTACTAGCCAAGGTGGTTAAGGAATCCTCCTCGAACGCAATTCCCTACTGCAGTTCATGATACGCGTTTACTTATGATGGCGTCATTGAGAAAATGATACTAACGCGGATGGATTTGGACGTTGGTTGGAGCAGGTGGGAGGACTCTGGCATTCGCATGCGAGACAAGGCCCCCAAGGGGTCGTGGACGGGTTACTTTCTGCGGGTTACCACGCATCGTTGGTTTAACAGGACCTTTTCGGACCGTGATCACTGGTGGCATTGGCTGACGGTGATTGTAAGACATGGTAACATGGTTACGGGTTGAGGACGTGGAACGTGATTGTACTATGAGCCGGGCAAAAACGCGTTTGTAACGATCAGACATGGATTTGAACACATGCCTTTTTTTTTCCAGATTCACTCTCTCATCACTCATCACCACTCTTTTTTTTATCCGCGAACAAAGGCCGGTGCTGTTCATTATCGGGTCGGAGTGGACTCAATTCACCAGTCCCTTTTACACCCCCTTCTTTAGGTACTCAATTCACCAGTCCCTTTTACACCCCCTTCTTTAGGTACTCAATTCACCAGTCCCTTTTACACCCCCTTCTTTAGGTACTCAACTCACCAGTGCCTTTTGCACCCGCCTCTCAACGCACTCCTCCCACAGGCGCCTGACGACATGCACAATGCGCACAAAGGGCTCGTGCTGTTTGTCATCGGGTCGGGGTGGTCGCGACGGCACTACCATGACGTGCCTGATAAGGACGAAATGTTCACTGTTGCCTTTGCCCCGTACGTGCTGCCTTCGTCCGGTACTTGCTGCCTTCGCCTGGCATTGCTGCTGCTGCTGCTGCTGCTGGGGCGTGAGGGTTCTTCTCCTTGACAAGTGCAAGCGTGCATTTGGCAGAAGGGCTTGGCGTGATGGCATACGGACTGTTAAGGGGTATCCTCGGCCCATATCGTCCCCCCTCCATGTATGCAATTGAAGCCATGACATAATGATGGCGTGATGGTTTATGGCACCAAACTGCTTCTCTGCTACTGTTCACGATAACACCAGCAGGTTGGAATCGAATCTGTGGGCATGGTGTGAAGTACGGTTGAGCATCTGGGCGAACTAGTTCGGCCCGGGTCGGGCTGCCCCGAAAGTGCCTCGGGCCGAACATGTGCCTCGGGCCTGACGGCCCGGGGGAGGGGGGGGAAGGGGGAGGGGGGGGGGAGGGGGGACAAAACAGGAAACTGAAGAGTTGGAGCAGATCTGAACGACCTGGTTCTGCTGGCCAGACTGAATTTGGTTGTGTGCTGGTTGGGTTTTGTAGATTCAGTGCTGTGACGTTAGATTAAGGGGGGGACTCTGGTTGGGTTGGCAAAGTTGTTGGGGTTTAGATTTAGATGCATTAGGGATGGCGTCGAAATCGCCAATCGCGAATTGGCGAGGCAGATTTTGCCAGTCGTGAAATCCCGTGCTGCCCGTACGCTTGCACCCGGGCCGGGGAGAATTCGGCCCGGTTGGGGCCATACTCAGCCCGGCCGGGACCCTTCTCGGCCCGGACACCCCCTGGGCAAACCCGGCTCGAAGTGTTGCTCCTTCGGCCCGGGGCGTGCCGGGCAGAGTTCGGCCCGCTTTTTAGGGCAGCCTTTGTCGAACCCTGCTCGGCCTGACCCTTACCGAACCCTGCCCGGCCTGTGCTCAACCCAAGTGTGAGGGAAGGGCTTGGCGGCATGATCAGGCGAGGTGAACATGCAGCGTGAGAGGGGCATACAGATTATCATGGTGAAGTAGGCGAAAGTGACAGACAGGTGGTCAGGCAACGTTTCATGTAATGTGATGTGATGATGTTACATTGGCTGTGCTCTTCTTAACACCCTCTCGATCTCATGATCTCATTTGTCAGTCAGCGCCACCTGGCAGCCTGGCAATGAAGTTGGTGAATCCTGAATACCTTTGAAGCCCGTTGGAAGAAACATCACCGCGTCACGTCACCCACCACCACCTATCCCACTGCCCTATATCTGCTGCTCTTGTGCATTGCCCAACCATGCTATGCCACATGGCAGCCTGGTAGTGGAGATGGGGATTCTGGGAGCAGTGCTCCATGAGCAGCCAATGGAGCCAATCTCATTCTATGTGGGGCCTAACGGGCCGGGCAAGTTTGGTCCGCTGATAGAAGACGAGCTCATGGCGTGTGAGTGAGTGAGTGACTGAGTGAGGTAATGTCGAGTGAGAGAGTGAGACGATGGTGTGTGAATGAGTGAGTGAGGTGATGGGTTGTGTGAGTGAGTGAAGTGACGGTGTGCCGTGTAAGTGAATGAGGTGATGGCATGCAGGTGAGGTCATGGCGGGTGAGGTCATCATGGCGATATGTGTTTATGTGTTGAAGTGAGTGCATTAATGTGAATGCATGATATTCTGCTGCTGCACACATATACACATCAGCAACATCGCTGGAATGGAAACATCCTGATATACTAAAGGTCGTTTCTTGTTTTCTTTATTATGCATGAACGTGTAGGATTGAACAGGAAATTATAATATGCCCATGCCATGCCCATCCATCCATGCGTGCTCCCCATCCCAGTCTGCTTTGCCATGGCATTGGCGCATCCGGAGCACCTAGAGTGGCACCTTGCTGCACCCATGGCCAAGTCCATCGTGAGGGGAATGGATGCGCTGCAGCTCGCCTCCAGAGAGATCCTCCCCCACCTCCCGGTCAGTGCTCCTCTGCTTGCTTGCTGCCGGTCAGTGCCACTCTGTCAGTTCCCCGCACCTGCCCTCTCCCCACCTGCCCTGCCCGCACCTGCCCTGTCCCCGCCTGGCCCTGCCCGCACCTGCCAGTCACTTCCTTTCTGATTGCTGTCGGTTCAGTCGGTGCTGCCCCCACTGGCCTTTCAGTCTGCTCTGGTTATATTGCATGCTGGCTTGTTCTGGTTACTTGGGTTGTGGCCACAATTCGCGTACAATGGGATGGTGGCATGGGATGTGTGGCTGGCATGGGATATGTGGCATGGGGTGTGTGGCTCGGCATGGACAGGTGGAAAGCTTTGTGGTCATGGGAGCGAGCAAGAGAGGACTGATGGCATGGCTGACGGCAGCTATGGATAAGGTGAGAAGGGCCTTTGAGTCGACTCAGAAGTCACCTCATTGCAATGGGCACACGACAGCTTTTGAATTGACTCAAACTCACCTCAGGAGTGAGCAAGGGAGCACTGATGGCATGGTTGACGGCAGCGATCTATGAGTGAGAAGGAAGGGCGTGCCTGTCGCATCCAGCTCCACCTACCATTGCATGGCACCACCTACCATTGCATGGCACCACCTACCATTGCATGGCACCAATTACAAAATATATGGCATCGCACCCTCTGCGTGTTCCAATACAGTATCGATTTGTGTATGAGGTGCGCTGTACTCTATCTATGCATAGTTGAAGTTCTATTCTTAGCATTCCCTTGACGCAAGCAGGAAAATTGTTCATCGTTTGTATGCAGGAGAATTAAAATTGTCAGCAGCGGTGTCACGGTGTGCAGCAGCGGAGTGGAGCAAGCAAGGGGTCATCAAGGGGGATGGGGATGATGCTAGATCTGCAGCAGCGCACCCTTGCTGGTTCCCAAAAGACCATCAATCATCCGTGCGTGCGTGCATGGAGGGTTCCTCAGTGTGTACTTCTTTTTCTTCTTCTTTGTCAGTTCTTTTGTTTCTCTTCCCGCCGCAGAGGGTGATGGGCATGGTGGCATACGGCTTTGAACTGCTTGACCTTGGGTGCAGCTTCCAGCCGTGCACGACTCGCTGGGTGCATGCATGACCGTCCATCACGATCCATCCATGCATGCATGTGTTCTCGTCTGTGTGTATTCTTTTCTTTATGTTTTGTTTTCTCCCCATGGCAGAGGGTGGTGGGCATGGTGGCGTATGGCTTTGACCTGCTTGACTTTGGGCGCAACTTTCAGCACCTGCACGACTCCTTAGGCGCGTGGCCGGTCATCCTCAAGTTCTACGCCATCTTCAACGTCACCTCCCAGCTGCAGTCGCCCCAGTTCCAACGGCTTGTTGTAAGCACTGCTAAGATGGAATATGCAGTAAGCCTACCTGCCCGGCAGGCCTATTCTCAACGTATTCTCAAACCACTCTGCCAACGGATCCCGTATTATGCGCCAGCGTGCAAACACTGGCGTATAATACGCTGGCCGTGTCTTTTCCAACACAGAGCACATGGAGAGCAGCGAGTGTGGGATGGAGAATGGGGAATGGTGGACGAGTGAGTAGTCGTGTGGCCTGTGATTCTTAAGCTCTGTCTCTGTGCCTGCTTTAACGTCACGTCCCAGCTGCATTCACCCCAGTTCTAAAGGCTCGTTGCAAGCTCAGGGTGACAGCGTGGGCTTGGATTGGACGTGTGCTCGTCTGGCTTTGCCAACCTGGTTCTCCTCCTCTCATGCCCATATTTCCACCTAGCTCTTCCTGCCAACCAGCCCACCTTCTTTTCCCACTCCACTCCGCTCATGCTCTTTCTAACTATAGGAGGACACAAGCCTTCTCACATCGCGCCATGGCTGGCTGCATGCAAGTGGAAACGGACTCGTATTACTTCAGGGAGCGCCTCACCATGCCCAAGCTGCTATTATTTTCCAAGAACTATCATAGTCACGCAACCCCCTGACCTCATGACCCCATGCCTGGCTGACTGCTGGAGGACACGGACCCATACTACTACAGGGAGCGCCTCACCATGCCCAAGCTGCTATTATTTTCCAAGAACTATCATAGTCACGCAACCCCCTGACCTCATGACCCCATGCCTGGCTGACTGCAGGAGGACACGGACCCATACTACTACAGGGAGCGCCTCACCATGCCCAAGCTGCTCCTCTGTGCATCTAACGACGAAGTGCTGGCACTGGATGACACGTGAGTGGGGTGACACGTGAGTGGGGTGATATGTGAGTGGGATGACACGTGAGTGGGGTATAGGGTAGGGTTTAGGGTTATGGTTGATGGCAGCGGAGTGCGGTGATGGCACGTGAGTGGGGTGGTGGCACGGCACGGGACCTGTGATTATGAGAATGACGACGATGTGCAACGGCACCAATCTTCCCTGCCCCCCCTTCACTCTCATCCTTCCTCCCCCCTCCCCCCCGACAGGTACATCTGGTGCCCTTATGCCCTGTTCTCCTCTCTTCGCCCACCTCCCCCCCCCCCCCCCCCTTCCCTCCTGGCAGGTACATCTGGTGGAACGACATGCCGGAGCCAAAGCTGCTCAAGATAATGGCCAACTCGGAGCACATGCATCTCCACATCAACCAATGGGTGGGTGGGTAGGGTTGTGTTGCTCTGGGTGTTTTGAGAATTCTGTAAGATGGAACGAAGCCACCTCAACCAATGTAAGATGGAATATTTTGTGTTGCCTTTCCACAAGCCACTTCTAACCTATGCAATGAGCAAGCATTGCACTCAACTTTCTTGCCTTCTTGCAAACTTTCACCTTCGCAACTTCGCCTTCCGCTTCTTCCCTCCCACTTGTTATCTTCGCCTGCTCCACGCCCTGCAAATTCCACCCTCCACGCCTCACGGGGCCTCTTTTACGGGTGTGCATGATTTTTTCCCATCATCACATCCCCCATGCCCTTACTCTCAAAACACCAAACCTTCAACGTCTCTCGTCAGCCCCCTCTACTCAACCCCCTCTCTCCCACCGCCCCACTCCCGTCTGCAGGCCAACCAAGTAACACTCTCCTTCCTCGCCTCTCTTCTGCACGTCAACTCCTCCTGCGCCTCTCTCCCCACCTCCTCCCGCCCCTCCCTCACCTGGACGCGCCCCACCAACGCCCCCACCTACTTCCCCCCTGGCCCCAAGCACTTTGACAGAGTGGAGGGCACAGGCTTGTTTGCGCGGGAGGAACAGACAGCTGTAGAGGCTCAGGCAGGACGAGGGGGGATGGAGGGAATAGACGGAGGCGCGCTGACCAATCAGGAGCAGCCGGCGCATCCCTGGGCCTGTGTTCCTGAGCTGCCAGCTGTCGACTGGCCTAAGCTGAGGTGGCGGTTTGATTGGTCCACGTTCACCGTTCTTGCCACGTCAGATAGGAAGCCATTGGAGGTTAGAGCATGGTGAGAAGGAGGGGAGGGGGGTGTTTAAGGAAGTGGAGGAGGGAACAGGGGAGGGCGTTGGGGAGGAAGGGGGGAGAGGGAGGGAGGGGAAGGGGAATGGGGAGAGGGAGAGTGAGGGGAAAGGGGAGGTGGGGGGAGAGGGAGGGAGGGGAGGAGGTAGGAGGGGAGAAAAGGGAAAGGGAGAATGGGTGTTTGTATGGCTGCTGAAAGAGCAGGCTCTTGTTCAGCGCTCTGTATGTTTCATGGGAGCGCATGTTTCTCAACTGCTTTCTCATTTTGGTTGTTTCTCTGTGGCTTCTAAGGCACCAGTTGCTTTATTTCTCTCCATTCAACTCCTCTTCCTTCTCAAACCCAAAACTCGCACGCCTCCACCCCCAACCCCCACAACCCCTCTCCCCCCACCCGGAATCCCCCCTCCCCCCTTCTCCCCGTCCCCGTTTCCCCCTTCTCCCACTGTGCTTCTCGTGTCTCACAGGACCGGCCGAACTGCCAGCGCACGGCGAGACTTCCGCTTCGTGGTACGGCGAGGCTCCAAGGGGTGGTGAGTGGTGCAAGGGGGTGGTGAGTGAGTGGTGCAAAGGGGTGGTGAGAGGTTCAAGGGGTGGTGAGTGGTGTACAGAGTGGTGAGTGATGCAAGGGGTGGTGAGTGGTGCAAGGGGTGGTGAGTGGTGCAAAGGGGTGGTGAGGGCCATGGCATAAGCCCTGTTCGTGCAGCTCATCCCATGCGTCCTCCCTGCGTCCTCCCCACCCTCTCATTTGCTAAGAGAGTAACTTAGGTGCTTGAGTATGCTAGGAGGCTAGGTCGAGAGTAGAGTAGCGAGAAGATTTGGCCAGAAGTAGGTTTCAATAAGAGATAGGGGTGCACCACCAACAGTTAAAATGCATCCACACAATTTTACACTACAAACAGTTATAGAACAACATATATATATACATAAAGTATATATATACATACATATATATACATATATATATACATATATATACATATATATATACATATATATATATATGTCTGACACTCAACACCCTCCGTGCCCTTCCTTCAGTGGTGCCGGGCACGTATGTGGGCAAAGTCGACCTGTGCCATTCTTCCTCTGCTGCACCTGCCCACCTTCCCCCACCCCCACCGCCCCACCCTCTCAGCATGGCGCCAATGTCAACAGTTCCAGGGACGTGTGCGGGCAAGCTTTACCTGTGTGTGCGGGCCACGCCCTTCTTTCTCCGCATCTGCTGACCCATCTCGTTTCATTTCTCCCACCCTCCCACCTCTTGTGCTCCCTCCCCCTGTTGTGGCAGCACGGCGCCAATACCAAAGATTCCGGGCACGTATGAGGGCAAGTTCGAGCTGTGTGTGCAGGCGATCCCATTCTTCCTGCACACCGTGTCGCCGCCCACGCACCACCCCGAGGATGGCTTGTGGCACTTCAGCTCCACCGTCACCGACGTTCCCAAGGTGATTATAGTGAAAATGCTTTTGTTTTTGCTTCAGGAATATCGCTTCACATTGTGACTGTAGCGAGGGGTCACAAGGTGACTGACTGGCTGACTTCCCCAAGGTGACCATGTGACGGTTGTACAGTACACCTAACCACTTGTGCACATGGGTATGCACCCTTTCTTAATCTTTGACCAAGGTTGGTGTGGGGCATCATACATTTTACAGAGAGGAATGTTCCAGTCACCTGAAACGAATGAAAGTGGCCCAATGGAATTCGCAACCGGAAAACAGCCTTCACAAGAGCGGTTATTGTCTCCGATTCGCATGATGAGTTTCTCAACATCGAGCATCAGGTCATTCATAGCCCCTATCTTCCAAGTGTCCAACTGAAATAGCCGAAAATCTTGCAGTGTATATTTGAAAAGCGGGAACAGTGCGCGGTGCAGACGTGAAATTAGTGGTGGTTAGGTTTACTGTGCAACGGTTATCGGCATGTTGATGCTCTTGTGAGCATTCTTTGTGTGAAGTCGAATTAATACACTTCCCATGTCATTTTCAGGTGGGGTTTCGAGCACTGTGGATTGAAGTTGATTTCGAGATTCCACAAAGAAGAGCTCCTTTTGTGCTGACAACTCAGGCCCTTCTAGCACCAAACAGACTGCCGTTCTCACCTTGTCAGCCGGGCAGCTATTCTTGCCAGCAAGATTGGATATGATGGGATATGCCACACTAGTGAACTTGTGATTCGCGCCCAGCAAGTTGAAAAATACTACCGTACATACCATAATCTCCCGGATACAGTACCCCCCCGCGGAGAAGACCATGGGTCCTCTTTCCGGACCAAGGGTCTTTTATTCCGACCTGTTCTCGTGAGGACCCCCCTTTTTAATTAAAAATTGAAAGACCCCCCACCTTCGTCAAAATTTAAAAAAAATGTTATATTCTTAACGAATTTCTGGGGTTGCTGGTGCTCGTCTGACTCGTCATCAGGCCAGGCCCCCAGAAGTCAGAGAAATGTCTCTGATTTGCATGAAAAACTCTGATATTTCAGATTTGTTTTCCAGTGTGCTCTGAAATAATCATATTTTTTAGGGCCTCAACTCTGTAACTTGCAGATTTTTTTTAAGGCTCACTCTGAAATTTCAGAGTTTTTTCGGGAGTGTACTCTGATAAATTCAGAGTACAAACGCGTACCGACTCTGATTCAATGTACATTGGCGCCGACACCCAGGATTAGCAGTAGTACCAGTACATGTCCCGTCAATCATGCGAAACCTGGGCGACAACACAACAGTCAAGTTATGTGGGCGACGCCGCCCTGCGACACGATTTTTCCCTCGTAAGCACCAGCACACACCCTGTTTGAGCACTGATTGGTCATGTTGGCAGGTTTTGCTTGCCATCACGGACTCCTCCAGTACCCACGATGCTGCAATAGGCACCCACGAAACACTGCTGACAGCATTGCACCGCAGGCGCGCCTCGTCGTTGCCGTGCATGCTAGGCAACCACCCACCCAACTCAATGATGGCGAACAGTGGTATAGGGCCTTCGTGTTTGAGCTAGGGTTTCATCCATACCCCCTTGCTTCAACTCACTGGCCCCAGCCAGTGCCCAATTCTGCCTCAACCACCTCTCTAGTTCCTGCTCGGCAAGCTCTTTCACAACCCCGCCATGACGGTGCAAGACAATCCCGCCACCTGCGATGACGACCCTGCTGAGCAGCCTGACTTAACAGGCTTAGATTTCTTGCTCAGTTCTCTAGAACTCGATAAGGCAGCACGCGCCTCGCCCGATACAATTCCCACCCATAAGGAACCCGCGACACCTGTTATCTCCATCTCTCACGACGCAGTGGAAGAGACAGCTGCAGAACCTACGGTGGCTTCAACCTCTCACCATCCTACTCCGACCATGGCGCACCGTCCGGCTCAAGCAGGCGACCTTGAGCTTCGCCAAAGCATCATCGTCGTCTGCTGATGTCAACAACGCTGCCGGCTCCTCTGAGCGGCCGCGTCCTCGCCTCAACATCAACCTGGTTGCAGTCGCATTCATGAGCAAAGATTTAACTCCCCCTCAAGCAGTCGCCTGCTTGCACTCACATTCATGAGCCTAGTTAAGGCTCATGCCACTCAGCTTGGCACAGCGCCAATGAGGTTCCTCAGCCAGCCGCTTCGTGAGGAAATCAGCCGGCTGCTGCTGCGTCTTCACGTAGAGAGGCTCAAGGGTTCCCCTCTGCACTTCCTTGCGCAGCCAATGCCACTTGATGCGCATGTGCTTGGTAAGCCAGTACCGTGTTTTTGGCCATGGAAATGGCACTTGAATTGTCACAAAACAGTGGGGTTGGTGCCTTCTGCTCATGCCCAATCTCCTCCAGCAGCTTCTGCAGCCAAACCAGCTCCTTGGCCGCGTGGTACATTGACATGTACTCAGCTTCAGCAGATGAACCCCCTGTTTCCACCTGTTTCTTTGACCTCCAGCTCACGGGTCCTCCCCCAATCACACTCAGGTAGCCACCCACTGAAGACATGTCCTCTTTCTCTGAAGCCCATGACGAATCAGCAAAACCTGTAAGGAACAACTCTCTCTCTCCCAGTTGCTCCCCCTTCTCCTTGAGAACTTCTACTCCCTTCTGCCTCTTTTGTGCCACAGCAGAGTACTGAACTCCAATAGTGGGGTAGGAGTTCAAGTACTGAATTATCCGATCAGCTGCATCCACCTGCTCCTCATTTGGATTTTGCACCACCCTAGCCAGCTGCCCCACAGCAAATGAGACGTCTGGCCTGGTGTGTACTGCTGCATAAAGCAAGCTTCCCACCACGGACTGAAACCGTGCTTGCTCTTGCTGATCCACCCCCTCATTCACTCCAGATTTGACAAGCTTGAACTCGGATGGAAGTGGTGTGGCAACCTTCCTCCCAACCTCAATCTCATACTTGTGCCCCATGTCCTTGATGTATTTCTCCTGGTGCAGCTTCACCCACCCATTGCTGATGTCCCTCTCGATGTGCATGCCCAAGTAGTAATTCGCCTCCCCCAGGGTCTTACACTTGAAGTTTTGCATCAGCTTCTGCTGCACCTTCAGCACCTCCTGTTTGCTGCTCCCAAACAGCAAGGTGTCATCCATGTATACAAGGAACATGACGAGGGCCTCCTTCTCCCCCATGAGGAAAAGGCTCTTGTCACATGCACTTGCCCTGAAGCGTATCTCCTCTAACACCGAAGCCAGCTTCTTGTACCTGCAGCGTGGTGCTTGTTTGAGGCCATAAATGGCCTTCTTCAGCTTGCACACACGCCCGGTACCATCCTCATAACCCGGCGGCTGCGACATGAACACCTCCTCATCTACCAGCCCATAGAAAAAGGTTGTGGTGATATCCATCTGGACTATCACCCACCCACACACAGCTGCACCGGCGAGTAGAACACGCAGTGTAGGCGGCTTTGCAGTTGCAGCAAAGGTCTCCTTGTAGTCCTCCTTTTCTTTCTGTTGGTAACCCCTTGAAACCAGCCTACTCTTGTAAACTGACACTGCCCCTTTGTTGTCAGTTTTGATCCTAGGAATCCAGCCACAATTTATGGCTTTCTTCCCCAATGGCAGTGGCACCAGCTCCCATGTCCCATTCTCCATTTGACTATTATATTCAGCATCTCGTGACACTAGCCACTTGTCCCTATCTGGTCCGTTAAGTGCCTCCTCCATGGTCAGTGGCTGAGTCGGTGCAGGTGCCATGAAACAGTATACCTCCTCCTCTGCTTCCTCATCAGAATGACAGCTGCTCTCCAGTACCAGCAATGCATCGAGTTGCTGCTGCTCTCCCCTTGTTCCTCCTTCACCCCTTGCCTTCGCCTTCAAGGCGGCAGCTCGCATCTGCCGCGTCATCATGGGTGAGAAGGTTCGTCCTGTGGGTTGGGGTTTTTCAGGTTCAGCCGTTGGCTCCACACTCTTAACCACGGGGAGCTCTGCTGCACCCTCCTCATGTGCCGTTGCAATCTCCTCCCCAGCCCACTCCTCCTCCACCTCAAATCCCATGGTTGCTTGCTGCAGTTGCTGCACGAGCTGCTCCTTTGGCTGCTTGGACCAGCTCCCGTACGTGATGTCTTCCATGAAATTCACATCCCTACTGTCGAATACGACTCCCTTGCTTGGCTCCCATAGCAGCCACCCCTTGCTTTCCGCTGCCACCCCCAAGTGCACGCACCAAACAGCCGTTGCACCCAACTTACTGCAATGTGCTTTGGGGATATGGGTCACAACCATGCAACCAAGCACACGCAGCATGTCAATGGGCGGCTTCCTCCCAAGCCACCTCTCCATGGGGACCCAAGACTTACCGCCAACGTTGGTGAACACCCTGTTCTTTACCACCGTGGCGTGGCGCACAGCATGTGGCTACTTGGAGTTCCCCAAACCCGATTCAATGAGAAGAGCCCGTGCTGTCTCCAAGACAGTTCGGTTTGCCCGTTCTGCTACGCCATTGGATTGCGGTGTGTAGGAGGTGGTGAGCTCCCGAATGATGCCCTGCTTCTTTATCCATGTAGTCAGCTCCTCCCCAAGGAACTCTCCACCCCTATCAGTCCTAATCTGCATCACCTTGTGCTGGGACTGCTTCTCTACCAACAACAGCCACTCATCACGGATTATCACTGGCACGTGGTCCTTCTTCTTGATTGGGTATGCCCAAGTTACTCAACTCCAGTCGTCCACAATGGTGAGAAAGAACTTCTCACCACGCTCCCCCAGCACCGGTAGCAGCCCCACCACATCTATATGCACTAGCTCCAACAGTTTCTTG